CACCATTCAATAGCCCCTGTTTTGCCAATAATTGTAGGGACTTATCGCCAGTGTGTCCCAATCTCATGTGCCATAAGCTGGAAGTATTCTCCTCTGTGGTAATAGATGCAGCCAGACCCTCTGTTACTGTCTTGCCCTTCAAGTAGTAAAGATTATTTTCCCTGACACCTCTCATCGCCATCATGGACGCCTTTGTGACCTTCAAAGTTGTATTTTCTAAGATCACCCTAAAGCCTGAAGCCTCTAAAGTTCCAAGTAAAATGATATTTTTCGTCAATTGAGGAACAAATCTCACTTCCTTCAACTCCCTAATCACCCCATCACACATCCTGATCCGGACTGTTCCAATACCATCAATAGGACATACATGATCATTACCCATGAGCACGACATCCCCTCTTTCCATTTCCTCAAAGCTAGAGAACCAATCCCTACTAGGAAAAATATGGTATGTAGCACCCGAATTTAACATCCACTCCGTAGAGTCGGCATAACAAATTAACGGTAATGCTGAGCATGAGTAGCCTGAAGAATCAGAATCAGAATTGTCACCACTAACTTTAGCAACATTCACCTCTGAAGTATGTCCGACTTTCCCCTTATTTTTTCCGGCTCTATCTCTCAACTTTGGGCATTCATTCTTTCAATATTCATCATCTTTGTAAAAAGCATATTGATTCCTACCAACACTCTTATGTCCACCTCTATGCTTCGACTTTGAGCGGTTAAACGGACGGCGGTTTGGACTACGACCTCTCACCGCCAATGCATCTCCCGATGCCTTCTCGGAGGGTTCACTATTACTCTCCCTCAACTCATAGTTCACCAATGCTGAGGTCACCTCCTTATAACTAACAGTGGTTCTACCATTGATCATCGTAAGGACAAAGGTACCAAAATCAACCTCTGACAATGAATATAGCAATAACATCGCCTTATCTTCATCCTCTATCATGATATCTATATTGGCCATATCCGATAGCAATTTTGTGAAATTATTGACATGTTCTCTAATGGAAATTCCCCTCTTCATTTTGAATTGGTAAAACATTTTCTTTAAATGAAGCCGACTCTCAATGCTCTTTGTCAAATACTTCTCATTGAGTGTTTCCCATAATTGCTTCACCGTTATTTCATTCATCACATCATATAAATCAAGTCCGACGTCAAACATGATCTAATAATCCCACACGCTCTACTATTTATTTTCTTCCAAACCTTATGTTTTCGTCGAAAGTTGTTTTCATTGATGATTCCATTAAAACTTAAATTGTTTACAGAAAATTACAATGAAAAATTGAGAAAATTACAACTCTCTTGGAAAATAACACAAAAATCGTTTATCGACTTTTGCTTTGTGGGACTTTGCCTGTGCCGGGAGCGCTTTGACTCGTGGACCACCAAATCACAGATCGTGAGGGGTTTAATGATTCTTCCTTCGTTTATCGAAGTGAGAATTTGAAACGAAGATCTTATCAAAGTAAGACGATCGTTCTTCTTAAGATCAAGTCAAAGCTCGAATCTCAAGGAATCACACAACCTGACATCTCTTTGGCCGCGCCAGTTCATACTGGCGCGGCTACTGGCGCGACAGTATGGACTGCTGCGGCCAAAGGAGCGGTTGCCATCACGTTTCATCGTGCTTGAAACTGTTCTCCCACGACCTTTAACCACTTTTTTCGAGGTTTAACTGCTTGTCTACGTCAGCACATGTTCTATTTTTGATATACCGTCACGTGGACTTTAAAAAATCATTGTATAACTGCTTTGTAACCGCTGCAGCACCCCTTGTAATAGCCGCGCCACCATAGACTGTCGCGCCTTAGGCGCGTCACCATGAGCTGCCGCGCCAAAGGCGCGTCACCCTAGGCTTCCGCGCCTAAGGCGCGTCACCCTGAGCTGTCGCGCCTAAGGCGCGTCATCATGGGTTGCTTGTTGGTGTATTTTGTCGCTGTATACACACTGTTCTCTTCTCATCCTTGAGTTGTGTTTGGATATCTATGAACATTTTTTGACGCCTACACCTTATCTTCCATATCTTCAGGTTTCTCTTGTAATTCAAGAGTCTCCTCCAAATTTTAGGCATCCAATACATCCATCACTTGACACATCCACAAACCGAAGTTTATCTTGCCATCAAACTTTTGAACATCAATTTTTGTATTATTAATGCTCAACCCTTGTATCGTCTTCGACAGAGACGATCCCGATGTACTTGCTTCGGTAATCTTGACAATCCAATCTCTTCAAATGAGAATCCAAGCCCTAGCTTTCTTCTCCAAATCAAACCCCAAGCCAAAACCCGGAGCTCTGATACCACTTGTTGTGCGCAGCGGAATCAAACGAACACACAACCGCAAACGAGATTAGAGAACAAACAATAACCGAAACAAGTAGCACAAATGCAAGACAAATTTACGTGGTTCGACAAACTTGCCTACGTCCACGGGGGCACAAAAAATTTCTTATTTTATTACAAGAAATTACAAATTTGCAAAGAGAAAATCTCAAACTTGAGATCTCTCAAAACAACAACAGTGTTTTAAGAACAACAGTGTTTTAAACTTAAAACACTGCTCAATTTCTCCTCAAACTTCTCTCTTAATTACCCAACTCCCCTCTTTAATTTCCCAACTACCCCCTCTTTAATTCCTGGGAACGTGACAAATGGGATCTCAAATCGCAGAAGGGAAGAGAGAGGTCGCCGCCAGAGAATTCGTTCTCCTCCGCTCAAGCTCACTCCACTCTGCTCGCTCAAGCTCTGCTCGTGAATATGGTTTCCTCTTTATAGGGAAACCCTAGGACGAGCTATGCGATCCAGCTGGTCCCAGCTGTCTCCCACCAAATCAGGCGAGATCCACTTCTTCAGGTGAGCTCCGATCCTTCTCGACCTCACCTCTACACGCAGGCAAGCTCCGATTCCCACGCAGGCGAGCTCAGCTACGCTTCAGGCGAGCTCATCCTC